TTTCCTGTAGAAAGCAATAGCTTACGCTGAAAAATGTTAGTGAGGAAGAAGAAAATGAACAAAAAACTAAATGAGCTTATAGGTCGATTTTGAAGATTTTTTTTAAACCCGCCATAGATTTTCGACACATACAGATCGAATTTTTTGTCAATTTTCGACACCAACTTGTCGAAAATTGTATTAAAAAAAAAAAAAATCAACACATACATGTCGAAATTTATGTAGACCACCATTTTAGTGTCTTGTTACTTAATTCTTCATTTTATAAGTTTTGTGAGGTTTTGATTTTTTTGACTTTTGAGATTATTTTAATAACTGTATGATCGACTTATTATTAATATGATCGGCTTATATGGTAAATTAAATTGTACAAAAGAGTACAATAAATTAGTCGACCTACCTAGGTGACCATATTTAATTGAGTGATATGTCAACTAATATTATTGACTATATAAGTTAATCATATTAATGGCCAAGCCCAGTCTACTATGATTAATCTTATAAGATGTTTTTAAGAGGTTATAAGCTGTTAAAAAGTGCTTGATAAAAAAATTAGAAAATATCATATTTTAGCCAAAAATAAGAGAGCTTATAAGATGTTTTTAAAAAATTACTTACATCCCACATTTTTTCTTTAAAATCTACCTTATTTACTTCTTAACTAAAACACTCAAAATACAAAATTACCATCAAATACTTTATTATATTACATGAATACTATCAAAACAACATATTCTTATAATCAAGATTAATAATTAGTTAAAATATAATTATCATAATAATTGTAAAAAAAACTATTCTCTATTTATATTTTATATGTATATAAAAATACCCGAATATTCTTATTATCTCAATAATAAATTATATTTCTTTTATCTATAAAAAAATATATTTTCTTTTTTGAACCTTTATTTTATATCAATATATTAATGGGATGAAAAATTAAAACTTTCACAAACCTGTTTCATTAAAATATTTTATTACACTTCATTTTATTTAAAAAAAATAGTTAAATATCATATCATTTAGTTTACATAAAAAAAAAATCATTTAGTTTATTTAAAAAAATCATTTAGTTCATTTTTCTATTATTATTTTTATTTGAAAAATTAATTTGTAAACATTTTGATAATATTTTAGGAACAAAAGTATTTGAGTCAAATAAGTTTAACAGTTATAATGGCGTCATGTACTTTTTGTCATATAGCGATAAACAAAACTTTTATTTCCAAACACCTAAACAGCTTATAAAAATTAAAAGTAACTTATAAGCTACATATCCAAACACCCTAAAAAATAATTTTTAAAATAAGATCTAACAGCTTATCAGCTCCTAAAACATCTTATCAGATGTAGGAGCTTATAAAATATTTTAAAAAAGCTTAGCCAAACGTGCTCTCAGATTTATCAACCATACTTGGTCGGGCGTGATTAGTTTGCCATACTTGATCGACCTTAGTCGACCATTTCTGGAACAAAGGATATATTTTAAATAAAAATGCGCAATAGTTCGGGTAACATTAAAATTGGGTGTTTAATCAAAACCAAAATAAAATTTATCCTTATATATCAAATGATAATTGGTTTGAGGGCCCTGCTTTAAATAATCTGCAGCCGTAAGAGTCGATTTTCAAATTCTGACACTCAGAAAGGGGAACAAAAGCCAACCTCCATTATCCTTAAAAATGAAATACACCACCTTCACACAGCTATACATACATACATACAAATCCAACGGATTTATGACCATATATAATACTAAAAATAACACACGGTCACTCTCTCTCACACACACACACACAACTATATCAACTAAACTACTTTTCTTTTTCTCTCAATCTCTTCCCTGTATGAAGATTAATAATAATACGGAATAGGAATACAAAAATCGATAACCATGACCAGTATACATACATAAATACAGCCGTAGGAGATAGTAGACAGATTCTCTTCTCTCGTATTTACAATTCCGAGTACATTATCCTTCTCATTAAAACCTGTTAGAATCAGAAGAAAAAAAGATATGATAATCGAGATTGTAAAGAAAAACAAGTGCAAATAAAAATCCAGAAAAAAATAGGGGCACTTGCCTAAGGCACGCGCGAAGAATTCCCTCCTTGCGACTCTTCCGTTGCTTGCTTCAATATCTCAACTACTTGACCCATAGTCGGCCGATCTTTTGGGTTTTTTACAAGGCAGCTATCGGCCAATTTAGCGATTCTCCTAGCAGCGTTTGGCGAATACTGATTTTGGAGACGTGAGTCCATTATCATGCTAAACCTTTTACTGTCGGCCGGAAACTGTTTGACCCATTCTAGAAGCTTCCGCTCGCCAGCTGGAAGGTTCCGCTCCAAAGTCCGCCTTCCAGTGAGTATCTCGTACAGCACAACACCAAAGCTCCATATGTCGCTCTTCACTGTCAAATGCCCCGTCTCTACGTATTCCGGTGCTGCGTATCCCCTTGTCCCCACAGGCTACAACATATAAATATTCACACACAAAAAATAAGAATAATAACGTAACATTTAAATCAATTAAAAAAGTAATTAATATATTTGATAAACTGACCGCAGTAGATACATGAGTGCGGTCCCCTGTGGGGCCCTCCCTCGCGAGCCCAAAATCGGAGAGCTTGGGAGTGAAGTCCTTGTCCAGAAGTACATTAGAGGATTTGAAATCTCTATATATCACCTTGTTTTTTTCCAATATCACCATCAGAATAATAATAAAAAAATAAAAAAATAAATAAAAAATAAGAAATAAAGGGGTGGTACCTGGACTTCCAAACCCTCGTGCAGATAGGCCATTCCTTGAGCGGCACCAAGGATAACGTTGAGTCTGGTTATCCAAGGAACAGTAGGCACAGCACGGTTGAAAATATGATCTTCCAAGCTTTTATTATGCATGTACTCGTAAACTAATAGCCGCTGAATTCCTCTTTCTCCATCGACCGAACAATATCCTAAAAGCTTTACAAGATTCGGGTGATCCACCACTCCTAGGAATTGTACCTCCGCAACCCATTGCTTGTGTCCCTACACACATATATATCATGATAATTTATCGGCCAACTATACATAAATTAAAAACTATGAGAAAAGTATGAACTAAACGCGTAATACATTACAAGTTCTATAACAAGCCTTAAATTTCAAAAAAAACATAGTTATAATTGGTCATCTTTAATAATGTCATGAAAGAGAATTTCATAATGTTGTAGATCAATGCACTCTTTTATCTCAAATAGATATATACATTTCATATATTCTAGTCTAACAATCAAGATTCATTAGCATGTACAGGCTTGTTCTACCCAAACGAAAAATGGCTCAAGTATATTTATCAGGGGAGAGGAGAATAAAACAGACTATCACTTCAAAGCTTGCTTTGTTAAATGCTGAAATCCCGTCTCGACGGATTATAAATCCTCGAGATTTGAACTAGATAATGAAATAAGAAGGCCAATTCCAAATTAACATATTTAATCGGCAAACAAGAGTCTTAAAGATGATCAGTCCAGCAGCAAAAATTTACCATTACTGCCAAATAGCTCCCATGTTTGCAATTTTTATAGCTAACATTCAGATTCCGAAGCCCAGAAAGGCGAAAAAATGATCCACACACGCGCGCGCGTGCACAGAGGATAATGTGACAAGGAGCAGCATTATATATTATTATTTGAAGGGAATAAATATAATAATAATAATAAGAATAATAATTAATACCTGCAAGCCTTGAGTATTGAGTTTCTTAATAGCAACAATGGTGGGAATAGCAGAATTAAGACCCAAAGGAGGCTTAATAGAGCCCTTATAAACACTCCCAAAACCACCTTCACCAATTTTGAGCAACTTATTGAAATTGTTGGTTGCTTCTCTGAGCTCTGACAGAGAAAACACCCTCAGATTATGCTCTTTTTCTCTGTACATTTCCGGTATGCTACGTGGCGATGAAATCGAACCAGTGGATTTAGATACACGGTTATTCGAACCTGAATTTTGATCTGCTGCTCTACTTTTCTGGCTCAATTCCGGCGCCGATTCGGCGCGCCGCCTGGACTTGCACTTGTGCTTAAATACGTGGAAACACTTCATCATTTTAGGAACACAACACAGCAAGCAAATCAACAAGTGATGAAAGAGAAAAAGGACCCAGAAAAACAATTTTGATGAAAAGGATAAGAGAGGTGAAAACCCAAAAGGTGAAATCAAGAAACAGCCTTGAAAAAGTGGTCGTAATAGAAAAAAATGGAGTGGGAAAAGCAGAAAGTCGGTCAAAATTTAAGGTAGGGTGGGGGTGGGAACATAGGAGAGAAACAAAAGAGAAACTAAGGTAGATGAGAAAGCGTGTGGATTTTCAAGTGTGGAAAGACTAGTTATAAGTTCATACGATCAAGTATCAACTAATCGAATGGAGCGACTAAAATTCACGACTCTCCATATTTTAAGGACTTTGATAAAAAAACTCAACAACAATGAAACAAGTTCTAAAGAGTCTCTAAAATAGAGCTTATTCCTAGAGTTTCTAAATATTTTCTTATATTTGAGACTCTAACTTAAAGTTATCCCACCATAAATTAATGAAAAAAGTTTAAGATTTTTTTTTTTTTTTTTAATTTTGTGATTGAAATATTATTTTTGTTGTTGAAAATCGGAAAATAAAAAATTCAATTGTTTTCCTAGGTGAGATATATATTACAAAAATAAGATACTATAAATAAAAAGGGTCTTTCTAGGGTGAGATCCCATGTTCTAAACTTTTATGAGATACCCCTTTATATTGCGCCACGTGTCCCTGCAAAAAAATTCAATTTTTTCTTATTTACGTATTGTCGTAAATACCCTTCGTATAATTAATATTTTCAAAAAATCGGCCATTATATATTATTAATGTAATGTCAATTTTACCCTCTATATTTTTAATGCAATTTTAAATATATATTTATTGCTAAATTAAAATTTATAATGTCAATTATATCATTATTCGTAAAAATCATTAAACCACCCATCCAAAATTGCATCAACCTGAATTCGAACTCGTGACCATCTGAAAACACACAAGAATACTTACCATTAAGACACAACACATAATTGACAATAAACTAACCATACGGATATATATCACAAAGCTACCATTTATAATGGTTATAAAACTTA